ATTTTTTACAAATAGTAATTTAAAATTACAAAGTTTTGCTATATTTAAATCTTCTAAAATATTAACTTTTACAGATATTTAACATGATTTTTCTTTAAAATATATAGAAGTTACAGTATTCCACAGTGTTTCAACATATTTGTGTTTTCTTCTCTCTTCACACAAATAGTCAATATAAACATTTTTAAAAGCATAAGTATCCAATTTAATTTGTTTTTTACAACTTGAACTTTTTTCCCAATATCAATTAATGCAGAAACTTCAGTTTAAATTACACATGATCTTAGATTAGCATGATTACCAACATTACGATGTCAACACAGCTCATCAAAACAGCTTAGCTAAGCTTGCAGCTTAGATGTTTCATCTAAATCAATAAATTGTAATTTGTTCATTTGCGTCTTGTACTTTGCATTTAATTAAGTGGTTGATCCCCTGAATTATTGTTTGGAGTGTATTTTAAATAAGTCAAATGTACCCATCACAAGTGCAAGAAAGCAAAACAAACAAATGAACTGATCAATTAAGGAAAGCAGACAAGAAGGGAAAGAAAACAGAAAGAAAGTTTCTTCTCTTCAGACATCTTTCAGTTATTCTCCATGTCTTTTCAAAGCCCTCACATTTGCTTTTTAAGAAAAGCCTCATTTTTTCCCACGGACAACAAGCATCAAATTCCTTTTAGAAATGTTTGGTTTATTAGGATTTTGTGGATTTTTCCTGCACACAGATGCTGTAACTTTTACCTTTAACACTTCATTTTCTTTTAAATAGAGCTGCTTGTATGGCTGTGGAAGTTCAGCTCTTTGAGGAAAGTGATGATGATGATGATGATGATGAGGATGATGATGATGATGATGACGATGTGTGTGTGGGTGGAAGACCAGGATGACATTTAATTGAATGTCCATTTTCACGCACCAGTGTGTGCCTTTACGAACGTGAATGGGAGGGATGGAGGGAGGTAATGACGTGTGTGCGTTCTTGGCCGACAGTATAAAATCAATCTGAGGGTCGGAGGGACAAAAGTGGAGGGAAGCAACTGAAATCTCTGTTTGACGGTAAAACGAAAAGCCAAACAGCAGAGAGACGGGACATGGCAGGTGGTGAGTATCATCGTTATCTCTTAATATATCCTTTTCTATTTGTATTTCTAAATGTACATTTTTAAAAATGTTATCTTTAGCTTCAAAAAAATAATTATGATGTTACATAAAACCAATTAATACAAAAAGAATAGCAAAATATAAAACTTTATTGTCCATGAAAGTGCATAAACAATACAACAAAGTGATAATAGAATAACAAATTTAAAAAAATAAAAAATCTAATCCAATGCTAAACTTGTTACACAAAATGATCAAGAAAAACAAAAATAAAATAAAATAAATTAATTAAAAAAAATGACAGACAACTGATCAAACTAACAAAAGATAAAAAAAAAAGAAAAGAAAAGAAAACTGGACTGGAAGAAATATGAACATTTACTGGTAGATAGGCTAATGAAAGATTTTAAACCATGATTTGTAGGATATTGCATTAAAATAAAGCTTTAGGAAATGAAGAATACACGCCATTAAAAATTATTTTTCTGTTTTTTTGTTTTTTTTTTAATGGCTGACAACCCTTTCAGCCAGCTCGAACCAAAGGAACACAAAGAAGACGTATAAAATGAGCAGTTGTAAAAAGAACTCAATTAAAATGTTTAGTAAAAAATATCTGATTTGAATTTGTAAATTCACAAATTTATAATAACTTACAGAAATTTAGTTTTTATTTAATAGACTGTTAAATTTAAGTGTAATACTGGAAGTATATATCTGAAATAAGACACAATTAGTGACAATTAACAGACGAACAAACATTGGTCGGTCTATGATTATCATTTCTTAAAGGTGCTTTTGTTGTTTTACACACATATATATTCTTTACAAAATATCAAAAAGCCAAAAAATTACATATGATCTCACATAAAATTAACACTTTAGAACGTATTTTAATTATGGAAATTTCTGCATTTTAATGGTATTTATTTTTTGTTGCTCCAACATGTGGAATATGAATGTTTTGTGTTGGCTGTTCACAATACATCGTCTAAATGTTTGTTTTGTGTTAGTGATTATAATAAGATATATGTGGTGCCTAAAAAACCAAACATTTTTCATGACACAACAGCTTTTCTTCTTTTTTTAATCATCACCTTAACAAAAGAGAGCTTGAATAGTTTTAATTTTGCAAGTTTTGCAGGAGCAGAATAACTATTTTTATGCACAAAAGAGAACAAAACCTTACCCGAGGTCAGTTTTTTGTCCTCTCCTTGGCTTCTTTATGAACCAAAGTTCATGCTTATTTAATTAAAAAAAGAAAGAAAGAAAGAAACACGTTATTGCTTTCAAGTCAGCTGTGCTTTTTCTTTGTTTGCTTTCTTTTTCTGTTCTTTATTCATTTCTCTCAGATTTCATTGTTTGATTTTTATGCCTGACTTTGTTATTGTGAGATGGCTTTAATGTATAGCTTCGATTTGTGTCATTCTGTGCCATAAATATGGTGCAACAAATGGTATTGTTTTTCAAGTAAGTTGTTATTAAAATGTATTTGCTATTAATGCAGCTGAAATTTAAAGGACCCTTGCTAGCAATGTATTCTCACTTGGTGTGTAAACTAATGTGCAGACTGAACATCAAAGCTAAATGAATGAAGCGGACTTGAACTGAATGTGATGAGAGGCTTGTATGTTGAACTCCGCAGCAGATCACAGGAGAATGTGTCCTGTGTGGCTATTGGTTGCGGCTGCGGCAGTGGGCGTGGTCAGAGGAGCTGTCAGTCAGTGCTGGGAACATCCCAGCTGCCAGGAGGTCAACTCTGAGAGCAGCATGATGGTAAACACACAAACAAACGCATGCTTTAACCACTAGACAAGCACAGGTGATTGTATTGTTTTTGTATTTTAGGACATCTCAGAGCACATATGGGATCTATACCATTATCTGTTTTTTGAAAATGTCAGATAAGACAAGATAAACTTTACTGAGTCCTCACTGGGCAAAAGAATTCCAAAAGTACAATAGGGCTAAAAAATATAAAAACGTACATTAAAAGATGAACTGTTCCAAAGATCCAGCCCCTCTGTTTCCGTGCCGGGTTCTCAGAACATCGAAGCATCTGGTGGGTCGGTCCAGTCACACAGTACTCTCACCAAGATGTGAAGAAGTAAAAGCGCTGAGAAAGAAGCTGGTGCCGATCCATTTAAACACTGAACACACAATAAAATCTCAAAAACATGAAATGGACAGAAAGCCAGTGGAGAGACACCAACACGGGGGCAGATACTTAGGAGACGAATGCTCTAAAACCACATACAAAGAATAGTCTAACTGACTGGTAGCAGTGACGTGTGGTGAGGTTCATGGCTGGTGAGGCACTGACTTCATCAGAATCGGATTTACAAACATATGCACTCTACATAGTAATATATTTGCCATTTGATGGCTGCAGTTTACGGGTTATGTTTCATATCTGCATTCTTTACACATACAAGCTGTAGCCCACAAAACGCATGTTTCTTTTTTTTTTTTTTTAAGTTGTTGCGGTCTTACCTTTACCTTTAAATGAAGTCCATGCTCCACTCCTTCTGGACAAAAATATCTGGTACTTTTTTGTAAAAGTCTCCTTATCTTCCTTCGCTGCCCTTGACTTGCTAACTGTATATCGTACCCAGTCTAGTTCGCTGTCACTACTCTGCAGCCGCGGAGTCACAAGAAGCATGTCTGGGATCAGAGCGCCCCCTGCCATGAGGCAAGGGAACTGCCTGCCTCACCTGGAACCTCTTCTCAGCCGTTTATGATCGCTCAGCACACGAAACACATTACACACACACACAGTTGGTAACAAAAAACACTGTACATTATTATATACATCAGCTAAACTATGGAAAATCAGTTCATATATTAAATGTGTTTGAAACATGTTATTGGCAACATACAGACAGCAGCACGCTGTCACTGCATGTCAGCCAGTGTAGGTAGCGAGGGATTGTGCAATCCAAGGTGAGACTCAGCTCTCTGCTGCCTCACCGGCTTCTCTTCCAAGCATTTGAATGGGAAATTGCGAAAATTCAGCAATTTTGAATTTAAAAATCATCAAAACTGACGAGGCTAAATGAAAAAATAAATACTTTTTAGTACAAATCACTGGATAAATATAACCATTTAAATTATTTTATCATTATATATTTTTTTCTTTCCGTGATGTCAGGTGAGGCTCTGCCCTACCTGCCTCCCCTGACTGCACGTCACTGACTGGAAGTAAAGGCATGAATAACCTGTTAAAACTCATTCGGATGTCTTGGCTAAAAAGGCAGTTTTGACCACTTAGCTGATCTGTCTGTCAAATTTAAATGAGCTGTTGAAGATCATTCCAAGGTTATTCACAAAAGATGATTGGTATGAAGACAGAGGTGTCAAGAGAGTCATCAGGGTCGTCCAAAAGGTTCAGTCGACCAAACACGCTGAATTATTATGAGTTAAAACTGGGAAGGTTTAAATCCATCCGCACGGGCAGATAGAAAAGTATATGATCTGCAAAAAGACTTTGTCACTTTTGTTCCCTTACCTATTCCCTTCAGTCGACCAAACATAACAACCTTACTCTTATTTTCATGAAGAGTGAAAAAAGTTTAAGTCCATGTGAATGCGTAGATAGAATGGTATATCGTCTGCAAAAAGACTTTGTCACCCTTGTTCCCTTCTCTGTTCGCTCATTAAAACAGGCATCTAAATCCATCTTCTGCCTTCCATCCTGCAGGAGTGTATCCAGCTCTGTCGCTCCGACACCAACGAGACGCCCATCATACCCGGTGACGCACACCTCCAACCTCCTCCTCCCTCAGATCCTCTATCTCTTTTACCTTTTCCTTCGATCTTCTCCTCCTCCTCCTCTCCTCAGGCCAAGCGCTCCTACTCCATGGAGCACTTCCGCTGGGGGAAGCCTGTCGGGCGAAAGCGCCGCCCGATTAAAATCTACACCACCAATGGCGTGGAGGAGGAGTCGGCTGAGCTTTTCCCCGGAGAGATGAGAAGGCGGGAGCTGGCCAGTGAGATGATGGCGGCGGTGGAGGACGAGGAGAAGGTGGCGCAGGAGGAGCAGATGCCGGGCGACGTCCACGAGAAAAAGGATGGCGCGTACAAGATGAAGCACTTCCGCTGGAGCGGCCCGCCAGCCAGCAAACGCTACGGCGGCTTCATGAAGAGCTGGGACGAGCGAAGCCAGAGGCCGCTGCTTACGCTCTTCAAAAACGTCATCAACAAAGATGGACAGGAGGAAATGAGGGAGCAGTGAGGGAGGGGAGAAGAGAAGGAAGACAGATGGAAGAAATTTTCCCAACCATACCGTCATCTGATTGGCCAACAAGTCCGATAACTGAAAATAAAATGCAATGTTTGTCACTGCCTGTAAAACACCCAAAGAACAATGTTTTCTGATGCCAAATGTCAGTTATTTTTGCTACCAGTTAGTAAACAAATTTCTGATCAATCTGATGAAAACTAATGTTTTTAGAGGTCTCGATTTGTCCAACAGCACAAAATCCAAAGTTTCCACTGCAAGATAGTAAAACAGGGAAAAGCCCCAAATATTCATAATTGACAGAACATTGTTTTGCACGAAAATGACCTCAACTAAACCTTTATCAAAAAAGCTCTGATTATTAGACTAATTGTTTTTTCTGTTAGTGCCTGTCTTCTAGAATTGTTTGATTAAACCACTGTTTCTGCACGAAGCTAAAGATTTAACCAGGTTTATGAAACAAACACTACTTAGATTAAACATTTACTGTCAGAAAAAATGGATATAGTCTGTAATCGCAACGCTAAAACCAGTAGTCATTATTCCTGCGGGTTGCTTGTCAGAGAAATAGTAATAGAAATTGGTTGATTTTGGCTTTTATTTTTGATTTTTGATTTTTTTTTTAATTTTTGTGTGTCATTGGCTGTTTTAACAGACAAATGCAGCAAAAAGAGTTCTAATTGGACAAAGATCATTCACAGAAACTTGAAGCTAATAAGCAGTATAAAATGTCCAAGAGGAGAGAGGGGATAAGAGAAAAATGTTTTATATTATGATTTATGTAAATAACTGTAAATGACATAAAAGATATTTGCAAGCAAAAGATGCGTGACTTTTTGTCTATCTATCTATCTATCTATCTATCTATCTATCTATCTATCTATCTATCTATCTATCTATCTATCTATCTATCTATCTATCTATCTATCATNCTATCTATCTATCTATCTATCTATCTATCTATCTATCTATCTATCTATCTATCTATCTATCTATCTATCTATCTATCTATCTATCTATCTATCATGTGACCTTAAAGTGATTTGTTAACATGAGTAGTATCACAATGAGTCCACAAGAGAGCAGCACAGGATCCCAACTTTACATACAATGCACATTTGGAGAAGTAAAATGATGTAGACTAAGCAATGGATTGATTATTTTTATGCTACGTTCTATCTAGAAAGACAAGAAAAGAATGTTGTATGCCACATCGCTTCTCTGTTTCATCCAATCTTATAAAATGTTGTTAGACAACAGTAATCATTTGCATAATGCAAAAGTGATTTGGTGAAGAAGCATTTATTATTTTTACTTTAACATCAACCTTTCTGCGTGCATGCAAGAAAATACTTTTTAATATCCTGAGACAGAGAGAAAGTTACAGAGAGCAGTAACAGAGTGAAACCAGTGTGATGTTCCCAGTGAGCGAGGTCAGGACTGGGAGCACTGGTCTCTGAGGGAAGGACAAACTCCACCCACTGCAGAGAGACAGAACATGTTTTAGACAAACTGGATCAAACTGCTGTTCAGTGTTTCACTTCCTCTCTGAGCTCAGTAACCACGGCAACAGACAGGCATCACTGATGAACCATGATAACAGACAGGTTTCAGTACTGAAAATGAAAATGTTCAAGTGGCGTTTTTGTTCTCTCAAGTTTTAATGTTCAATCTGCAAACTATTAATGCTTATTTTTACAATTCCTGATGCAAACGTCAAATATTTACAGTTTTTGTGAAGAACCAAAGTTGAAGTATCAGGATGTTTTACAATTTTAGAAATAACTGTTCAGTTTTTACTGTATTGTGACATAGTATTTTTTACAAGTGATTAAATTTAATAGGCACTTGCAAAGAGAAATGAGCACGAACACATTTCTGTTGGGTATCTGCAGTGCAGCAAAATCTACATAAAAACTTCAGAGGAAGAAATCTTTTCATTAATAACTTGTTTGAAAAAATGACATTTTAGCTCAAATCAGTCCCACAGTTGATGTGTGTCGTAACAATTCAATAAATGCAAGTGATACAAATGATCACTGATGCCTTCTTGATCATCCGTTTATCCATCCATTATAGCGTAATCCTCTCTTGGGTCGCGTAGGGCTGGAGTCTATCCCAGCTGACTCAGGGCGAAGGCAGTGGACACCCTGGACA